ATTATTTACTTCTCTCGGAAATAATTCACATAATAGATGTTCGATATCACTTGTCACATACTTCAGTCATAAGATGAACGGTATGCTATGGGAAAAGATTAGAGCACAGTTTGTTTTTTGTGAGCATTTGCTCGAGCATTTCTAAAGCTCTTGATGCTTAGTACTGATACTGAAAAAATAGCTCTGGTTCTGAATCATATAGTAGAGATCAAAGGTACACAAAGTCACTACTGTAGGTCACTTACGAGGGAACATTCTCAGATGATTAAAACCAATCGTTGTCATATTTGGTGGGTAGTCAGATGTTGTCCTAAATGCATCAAATATATAAGGGTTCGTGCCATTGCTGTTCCGTTGCAGAGATATGAATAGGGCAAATAGCACTATAGATGGCGCCACATTCGATGTGCTATTTCTTTAATTTGGACTTTAACGAAAACATTGCTTTCGTTTGTAACATCTCATTGTTATTTTTACGTGTTTTTTTACTCTTTATTGTATGATTCTTAACTGATATATTTTGTGTTTAGTGCAGTTATGTAGTGATCACTTGGTTGCAACTACATAGAACACATATGACAGAGCCAAAAGGAAGGCATAAAAAATTCTCTGTTTTTCTCAAAAACTCCCGTATTAATTCAAAATCAATGTTTAAAACTCTTGAATTCAGTTTTAACTGGTTCGATCTCTAATACAATTAGAGTCTAATACGAAAACTGTAGACAAAGACTAGTATATTATATATCATTATCTCTTTCAATCAACACTTTTACCTATCGATCATTTTGAAATGATTAATGTCTATAACATATTAAAAGTATTATCAAACTATATCTCTCATAAATTTGACGATACTGTACCCTCGCCAATTACTTTTGACGAAGAGTACATTGCTTTAAACCTATTTAATTGTTTATCTTCCATTCTGGAAAGTGGTTCATATCTCTTCGATATTGAAACTACACTCGATCATGACGATGAATTAGATGATCCCGACGTCACGAGTTCTGCTGTCCCAACACCAATGTCTATAGATCTTGATATTAATCTTGACGCTGATTATAAGTCCACCGACGATGACAACGACGACGACGACGATCACTGTCTGCGAGATGACTTTTCATTGGACTACATGAAACGCGCTGTTGATTATTTTGATGAGACGGATGCAGCAACAGGACAGCGCAAAAGAAGTTGGTGCTCAGTCAAACACATGTTTCGACGTATTCCAAATCCCCAATACATCACCCGCTTTCGGAAATATATTGAAGCTGGGGGTACCAAGAAACAAAAAATTGATGATATTGACACCTATGTCTATCATCAATTTGAAAACGCACGCCATAGGTTGCTAGCTGTTCATGATATTGATTTGCGTCGATGGGGTCTCCAAAAAGCTCGCGAACTAAATCTGAATAGTTTCGAAGCTTCCGAAAAATGGCTATTGTCGTTTAAACATCGACATAGAATTTCTAGTCGAAAAGTAACTCAATTGATTACGAAAAGGTATATTGAAAGTCGTCAAGAAATTGACGAAGCAGCAACAAAATTTGTTGCAGAAACGTCGAAATTCATTGAGAAATACAATCCCAACGAAGTACTCAATACTGATCAAGTGGGAATTAATTTTGAATTGTATGACAATCGAACTTTAACATATATGGGAGAACAATCTACCTGGAGTTCGGTTCGATCGGTTTACAATACCACTCATTCTTACACGATACAAAATACGATAACAATGAGAGGAACTGTGTTCGGTCCACTCTATCTTTGTTTAAAAGAGCAAACCGGACATATGAGCGATAAAATAAAAGAGAACTTATTTCATGCTCAAAATGTTGTCGTGACGTGCTCGAAAAGTGGAAAATTAACTTCGTCACTTGTCACTTACTGGCGTGACCATTGCTTAATTCCAAATTTGTCGTCCAAAACATTACTTCTTGTGGATAGCTTTCCTTCTCATGCTAATCCAGATGTGTATAAGCATTTGAAAGATTTTGAATTTAGAGTAATACCACCGAAAACTACTTCAATAATCCAACCACTTGACGTTTATTATAATCGGCAATACAAGATGATTCTACGACGTATCTTCGATTATGTACGGCTCGACGATATTCATATTAATTTGGCCGAACGTAACAATGTGATTAAATTACATTCACTTGTTAATTCACAAATGAAATCAAAAGCTTTCGAACCAATGATTAAATACGCATGGTACAGAAGCGGATATTTAAAAACTGATCCCGGTCCATTTCGCAACGTTAAAGAAATTTGTTTTACATTTGAAAAAGATAAATGTTGCGAAGAAAATTGCATAAACGATCAAATAATTCGATGTTCGTGGTGCCAGCACGAACTTTGTTTTGTTCATTTCTTTGTGAATTACCATTATCATTAGACTGTAAGTATTCGTGTTTGAACAATCGTTTGATTTCTATTATTTTTTTTATATAGTATTTCACTTTTTCGCTCAATAAAATTTAGAAAAAGTAATTTTCAGTTTTCTTTTTCTCTCCTGTATGAAAACTAAGAAGAGGTAGCGTAAGAATCGTGCGTCAATTAACTCATAAACAGAGTAAAGGGAATTTCGCAAGAAGAAACTATTTTTCCTGTTGAATACAGAACATATCAGTTAAGAATCATACAATAAAGAGTGAAAAAACACGTAAAAATAACAATGAGATGTTACAAACGAAAGCAATGTTTTCCTTAAAGTCCAAATTAAAGAAATAGCACATCGAATGTGGCGCCATCTATAGTGCTATTTGCCCTGTTCATATCTCTGCAACGGAACAGCAATGGCACGAACCCTTATATATTTGATGCATTTAGGACAACATCTGACTACCCACCAAATATGAGAACGATTGGTTTTAATCATCTGAGAATGTTC